CAGTTCAAAGTCAATTCCTGCAGGCACAAGATTTATCCCATAATATTTTGTTGTGCCACCATGTTATATTTAAAATTTTAGGATAAATGTAATAGGTTTTGAAAAGTTTAATGTTAAAATCAGATTTTAGCAGATATAAATCTAATTAGTGTAGTTTTGCTTTGTTGCTAGTTAGCTTAAGCTAGTTATGGTCATCATCATATTATACTTAGAATTTGGAAAAGATGTTTTGCTGTTTGAAACGAATTAGAAGACCTAAAAACCTGGATACAAAAAGTTTAGATGTTTTTTTATCGCTTTATCAGTTTGAGCTTGTTGGTCAAAGTTGCTATGGTTTTTAGTTAACTGAATGAATAGTTTGGGAGTGCCACAAGTACAATATGTTAGGATACACAGTAAGGTCAACATTTCTCCATAACTCCAGGTTTAAAGAACGTTCTTGTATACTAGAATGATTTAATTTTCAGCTGTATCTGTTTTTCCTTTTATTTCTTTTAATTGCCCCTAAGCTAGTACCAAAGAAACGTTTATTTAGTCATAAAACCTTTTCTCAAAGTGTTTTTCTTAATGTGGCGCCAGCAGCACTAACAGCGCTTCAAAACTCCACGATTCATTTCGGCGCTGGCAGGTGAACAGAAGCCGAGGGGTGAAAGGAGCCGTGTTTTCAGCTTGTATGTAAAATGCTGCTCATATAGCCGGGTCAAGATCTAAAAATATCAAAGCGTTGTGAGACGGAGAAAGAAAACTGGAATGGTTCCCAGAAACGTCCCAGGTTGATGAGCACAGTGTTCCGGTGTTTTAATATCGGATTTCAACCGACTCCTACTCTGATTCCAGATCACTGGATCTGTGTAGCGAAAGCCTGCTCTTGGATCATCGCCTTTTCTGAAAAACACCTTGCTTCGCTTTGCTGCCAGACGCACAGTCTCTCTTTTTATCGTGCTGAAACCGTGAAGCAGCCGCTTTCTCTTCTTCGTGAGGCAAAAAGGCCTTTAAAAATCGCAATATGGGGGAAAAGTGGCACTCTAATTACACATCCTGTGCACGGAGAGAGGAAATAAAGAGGTGCAGATGGACAGAAAAAGCAAAACTTGTTTATGGAGGAAGTGATGGAGATGAGTAAAAAAAGGAAAATTGAAAGAGTGGAGGGGGTGGAGAAACAGAGTGGGAGATCGGTCCGGCAGATAATGAAAAAAGGCTACCTGGTGGAAAAGTAAACCAGGGAACTGGCAGTAAGCCAAATTCAATAACAACATGAAAAGTGCGTGGGATGGAGGGATGAAACGACAAACGAGGACGCGAGAGGTGATGCAACCGAATCTCAACACCGTCCTGTTGCTGTAAGCCTCCTGATGATAAATTTATGCGATGTTGATGTGGAATGATAAAAAATAATAAAATAAAAAAAAGAAACGAGAATGGAGGGCGCTGCTATCGCCTCTCATCTCACCAGCTGTGGCCAGAAATGTTTTATCTGCCTTAAAATCAGCCAATAATCCAACACCGAGCTCGACAGAAAGAAAACCTCTTCGGTTAGAGACTTTGGCTTAAAGCTGCTGTAAAACGATAGATGTTTGTTTACCTTGTTTTGCGCTTTGGTGCTAAGGTTTTCTGGTTTCTCCCAGCAGCGCGTGGACAAGTTAAGGATGGCGGTGGCGGCCATGTGAGCAGCTTCGGCATCGTGGGAGTAGTCGTAGGCTAAGGCGGACGTCTTTCCGTAAGCGTGCAGGCTGAGGCTGGGTGACGATGACTTGGGGAACGAGGGCTTAGCTGCAGGAGGAGAGTTCAAAAAACTTTAATCTCTGAAGTGATATTTCACACCAGTTTCACCAGAAATCTGTTAATGGCTACAAGAAACAGGTGTCAGCAAAACAACAATAATTCATGATAATAATGACAGGTAGATCAGTGAAAGAGTGTCGTAAAAGACGGGTCTATAACTGTGACCTGTGATAAAGAACTTCACACAACGAAAGTTCTAAATTTAATAAATAAAACAATTGAAGGAAAGAATGAAGAAATAATATTTTCACTGGTCTTTGTGAGTCCAATTCCACACCCTGAACGGTTGTTCTTGTTCTGGACACGATTTTTGTTGCTGAAGTAATGGTTCTGAATGAAAACCTTAAATATGACACCAAGAAAGATCTGGTTCTTGTTTAGGACTGGAACCAACCAACCGACCATTCATCCATCTAATCAACCAACCAACCAAACAACCAACCAAACAACCAACCAACCGTACATCCATCCAACCAACAAATCAAACAACCATACATCCATCCAACCAACAAATCAAACAACCATACATCCATCCAACCAACAAATCAACCAACCATACATCCATCTAACCAACCAACCAACCAACCAACCAACCAACCAACCAACCAAACAACCGTACATCCATCTAACCAACAAATCAACCAACCATACATCCATCTAACCAACAAATCAACCAACCATACATCCATATAACCAACCAACCATACATCCAGCTAACCAACAAATCAACCAACCGTACATCCATCTAACCAACAAATCAACCAAACATACATCCATCTAACCAACCAACCATACATCCATCTAACCAATAAATCAACCAACCATACATCCAACTAACCAACAAATCAACCAATCGTACATCCATATAACCAACCAACCATACATCCAGCTAAACAACAAATCAACCAACCGTACATCCATCTAACCAATAAATCAACCAACCATACATCCATCTAACCAACAAATCAACTAATCATACATCCATCTAACCAATAAATCAACCAACCATACATCCATCTAACCAACAAATCAACCAACCATACATCCATCTAACCAATAAATCAACCAAACATACATCCATCTCACCATCCAACCAGCCAACCAACCAACCAACCATACATCCATCCAACAAATCAACCAACCATCCATACATCCAACCAAGAAACCATCCACATTTTCACTCAGGGATAATTTGGCAACAATTATGAACCTAACATGTATGTTTTTGGTCTGTGGGAGTAAATTTGAGAAAACCCACAAGTGCATGGAGAGAACATGTAAGCTCTACATAGAAAGGCCCCAGGCCGGGAAGCAACCCTGTGACCTTCTGGCAATAAGGCGAGAGCTCTAACCACAGCCCCACCGTTCTGCCTAAACTGGAACCAGTTTGGTGGAAAAACATACCTTTAAAAAGATCTGGTTTAGTTATTTAGGATTACAAAGGGTTAAATTTTTGTTTTGCATACTTGTTAAGAGTGTAAACAAACAACTTCTATGTATCTGGATAAACAAACAGCTAACTGTACAAAATGRTAAAGCTTTAAAGGTTAGCACACAGAGGAAGCAGCCAAAAGTCCCGTCTTACTTTTGAAGGCTTTGGGTGAAGTTTCGCTGGTGGTCATCTTTGGAGCAAGCGTGCGCTTCCCGAACACTTGGGCGTCGAAGCTTGCATAATCGAAGGAGACCTTGGAGTACTTCTCCAGCTCCTTGGCCAGGTTGGCACGAGGCGTCGACGGGGCCATGTTGGGCCTGTAGCTGCCGTACTGAGGCACCTCCAGCTGCTTCACGAAGCACATGGGCCTGTAAGGGGTGGGGGGCGTAGAGGAGAGAACGTCAGACCGGAGCTCCTCGAGGTCAAGATTACAGATGGAGTAAAGCACAACGGATTCAGAAAGACGAAAAATAAAAGAGACGAAACTGAAAGAACCCAAGGAAAGGGAGTGAAACAGAGTAGAGATAGGGGCGCCGGTGTACTTAGCAGGAGTGCTGCAGGATTAAAAGCTCTTATCAGCAGAGGGCACATTTGCATTTTGTACAGCATGGAATTTATGAGCTTTAAGCCCTCTCGTTTTCCTGGAGAGCCCGGGCTTTTGTCAGACCTGTTGGTGTAAATCCACTGATAGATGAGGGAGACGCAAAGGAGCGAGGAGGAGGAGGARAAGGAGGAAGAGGGACGTACTGCCTCTCTTCCATCACATTTCCAAACCAAGTTCTCTGTAACTGCGATACGTCCACAGAAGGCCCAGTTTCTGCTCATTAATGAGCTGCGTGACCCGGCTGATACCGGAGGACCCAGGAAAGAAAAACAACCATTCCGCCACCGATAACGTCCTTTTTTATTAAATCAACACGGATGCCGTTGGAACAAAGATCGGACAAAGAATTCGGCTCATTTGAATAACAATCTGAGGAGGAAAAACAAAAAGCGTGCCTCATTGTGTTTTAATCCGATGCTTTGTCCGACCAGTGATGAGGTTTTCCTTCAGGAAAGCAATTATTTTTCCCCCCGTCCTCCCGCCAACGCCCGTATAACTTGCATAATTAGCGTATCGGGCTGCGTTATTAATTAAAATACCGACGAGGGGGGGAATGAGGATGGAGAGGAGTTGGGTTTGTGTTAATTATCATTCTTTGGGCCGTGGTTGCGGTRCCAGGGACGGTTTGAAGGAGATGGATGAAGATAAAGAGATGTTTTAATGATTAACCTGTAGGACTTCAGTGACAAATACCCAGACCACCTGTGCTTGTGGTGACGAAAAACAACAGCAAAAACTGGGAGAAACTGCGACCAAGCGTTTGAGGCGGAAGGCAGCGAATGGACGGCACCTCCAGATGTTTTTGTGTCTGAACCCACCTCAGCACTCTGTCGTTGGGACTTCCTTTCAGCAGCTCGCCGCCGGCCTGAGGAAGATGCTGCTTATCCTGGCTCTTGGACAACTTCTCTGCAGCAGCGATCGGGCAGCCGGACAGACTGGAGGAGCAGAGAGACGCGAGATATYAAAACAGCAGTAAACTTTTTGGTGGTGTTTTCTCTCTTGCAGTACAAACAGCACTGACGGTCCAGGTGTTTTACCTGCGGTGGGTGTTGCGGTTGCTGTTCACGTGGCCCTGACCCGTGCAGCCGGGAGTCGGACACTTCAGAACGTTTTCATGCATGGCCAGAACTGAGCAAAAGATGTGAAATCACAGATTTAGAGGGGGRAAAAAAAATCACATAATAAGAAAAATACTGACTCAGCGTTCACTTTGTTTTCCTGTTTTACATTTTAAATAGGTTGTATATCGTCTAATGACTCCTGCAGACTTTGTGCTAGTTTAGCTGTTTATATAACAAAGCATTCAAATCATTCATTAGTTGGCTAAAATTATAGTTTTTAGCAACTTTTCTTTAAAAAAAAAACTACTACTAGATAGCTCTTTAATACTTTTAGTTTTAAGATAGCTTTAGTTTTCAGCTCACATTTTAATACTCTTGGCTTTAAGTTGATATTTTTAGCTTTCAGCTAGCCCATAACTATTTTTAGTTTCTAGCAAGCCTTTTAATACTTTTAGCTTCTAGATAGGCTCTTGATACTTTAAGCTTTCAGCTAGCTCTTTACCACTTTTAGCTTCCAGCTAATCTCTTGATACATTTAGKTTTCAGGTAGCCTTATAATAGATTTGGCTTTAAGTTAGCCCTATGGTACTTTTAGTTTAGCTAGCCCTTTAGTTCTTTTAGCTTGAAGCTAGCTAGCCTTTTGATACGTTTAGTTTTCAGCTCGCATTTGAATCATTTTAGCTTCTAGATATAATTTTTTTACTTTTACCATTTAGCTACCCCTTTGATAATTTTATTTAACCTTTTTGCAACTTTAGATTTTATCTAACCTTTTGATGCCTTTAGCTGTAGTTTTGCTAGTTTTAACTTTTAGCTAGAATCTTGAGATGTTTAGCTAGCCTTTTGCTAAGTCTAACTTCTAATAAGGGTCTTTCTGTTTTTATTCAGTGTTTTGCTTTATTAGAATTAATAAATCAATTTCACTTTCTTCAGCAAAGTTAGGCAAGCCTTTAAAACCAGTTTCTGTGTGGTTTTTGTAACAAATTAAAACAAAATACCAAAGATATTAACGGTAAGCACAATGAAAACATTTAAACTTTAAATGAATATGGTAAACCACAATGAACAGCCTGGTTTTCTCTTCCCATTAATCTCTTTCAGGAGCAGAAATCAAACGGAGCCACTCACCCTCTGGGGGGATCCTGTCTTTATGAGGACAACCCGACAGGCTTCGGTGGTGGGGGTAAAGACCAGTCACGTGACCCGTCCCGTCGCAGCCCGGTGTGGGACACTTGTTCTCTCTCTTTTCTGACCTCTCTGGATCATTTAGAGGCAAGAAGGAGAAGTCAGGAAAGATAGACGAGAGGAAAAAAGGACAAAAGCAGGCTGTTAACGCCATCAGACAGTCTGCTCGGCTGAGCATGAAATCTAGACATGTTTCAGACAACTGGACCAAAGTAACACTGTCTAAACCCTGACATGTTTCAGTCAACTGTAACAAAGTAACAAACCCTGACGTGTTTCATTGAATTGGACCAACGTAACAATGTCTAAACCTGACATGTTTCAGTCAACTGTACCAAAGTAACACCATCTAAAACCTGATGTGTTTCAGTGAATTGGACCAACGTAACACAGTCTAAACCTCAGTAGGTTTCAGACAACTGTACCAAAGTTACATGGTCTAAACCCTGACATGTTTCAGTCAACTGTAACAAAGTAACAAATCCTGACGTGTTTCAGTGAATTGGACCCATGTAACAATGTCTAAACTTTGACATGTTTCAGACAACTGTACCAGAGTTACACTGTCTAAACCTCAACAAGTTTCAGACAATTGTACCAGAGTTACACGGTCTAAACCTGAAATGTTTCAAACAACTGGACCAAAGTAACACAGTCTAAACCTGAAATGTTTCAAACAACTGGACCAAAGTAACACTGACTAAACATACAGTATGTCAGACAATTGTACCAAAGTTACACGGTCTAAACCTGAAATGTTTCAAACAACTGGACCAAAGTAACACTGTTGTGGTGATGTAATCTTTTTTTTATCTAAAGCTTGAGATTAACATTTATTAGGAATTTATTATCTTTTTTATATAAATGTGGGTCTTATGATATTTCTAATCTTGGATTTATTTAAGTGGCCTTGTTACATCTTTCAATTTCTCAGCTTTTCTTGTTCTTCTTGGTAGATAATTAAAATAAGGTGAAACTGAAGGCCTGATTCTTTTAGCTGTTGCCTTATTGTGACAGTTTAACTAACTCTTGCGGTTGGTTTTGGATGAAATCCAAAAAAACCAAAGCAGGAGGACGGCTCGATGCTCTATTGGCCTTCAAATTGAATGTTAACGAGACACGTATCTCCTAATTAGCGCCGAGCAGAACAGGAACACCGCCACAGGAGGGAGCTGAGGCCAAGGAGAGGGCAGCACGAGGAGCCGTGTAATCACACCGCCRCTCCGTCGTCAGCGTGACGAGCGGCGCCGAGTGCCAACAGAGGAAAACAAGAGCAGAACATAAACAAACATTCCACACAGAACTCCACTCCTCCTTCTTCCTCTCGACAACACGCTACTCTGCCGCCGCCACCGCCGCCGGCCCCTCCTCACCCTCTCCTCCTGCACTTCCTCTCCATGCTCCGTGGCCGTCTGTTCAGATGGAGCCACTTCACCGGGTCTTTAACCGGGTCTTTAACTGGGTCTTTAACCAGGTCTTTAACCGTGACTCATCGCCATTAGTTTGTACTGATTATCTGCATTACTTAAGAACAACTCATGTGACTCGAACCTCAAACAAACAGGAAAAGTGTGGTCAGTGTTGGCGGCCATCTTGAATTGTGTTGACTCCAAGTTATTCAGTTGTAAAGGTGGTTCATTGGAAAATGTAGGTCAAAGGCAGAGGTTTATAGTAACTAAGTACATTTACTTTACTTTTGGGGGAATTTGTAATTTTACCAAGTATTTTTTTAAATCATTACTTTTACTTTTATTTTGTTACATTTAAAACCTAAAAATGATACTTTTACTTCTTTACTTTAAAATTTAACACCTAATTACTCATTACAAAATTAAATATGTTTGAACTCATCATGAAAGGATTTGTTTATGTGCTCTAAAAACTGAAGTGTTGGATTTACTCAACAAAGTCCGGTCAGCTGGTTTCACTAAACATAGAGTAAATATGAGGCAAGAATATTTTCTCCAGTTGGTTTGGTAGAACCAGTTTGGTTAACCATTTAACAGACGCCGCTAAAAATCCTTAAAAGCCTTTTGACATTTTTAAGGGTGACAAAATAAAGGTAAGAGCCGGAGGAAGTCATCTGGCGGTACGACGRCTCAGTGGTTAGCACTGATGCCTCACAGCAAGTAGGTCCTGGGTTCGATCCCCGGTTTGGACCTGGACTCTTTCTGTGAGGAGTTTGCATGTTCTCCTCGTGCTTGTGTGGGTTTTCTCCGGGTACTCCGGTTTCCTCCACCCACCAAAAACACGTACAATAGGTTGCCTTCAGGCCTCTCTTGACAAAGAGATCTGAGATCTCAACGGGACTTGCCTGGTTAAATAACGGTAAATAAAATAAAACGACACCCTAGTTTTCAAAATAAAAGCCCCTGGTAGTGTCTGGAAACATTTAAAGGCAGAAATCGAATCATTTTTGCCCACTGGTGGAACAAAGACTGTTAAGGAGTTCAGTAAATTCAACAGTTTATATTTCAGAGTGTGTAGAAAAACTTTTACTTTACTTTCCCAATTTTTATGAACAGGTTTATGACTTTTACTTGAGTGCTTTTCTCCCCAGTTAATTGTATTTTTACCAGTCATTTTCTGTTCATGTAATTTTTTTCTGGTGAAAGGGGACGGGCCTACCTTTGCTGAAGTAGGTTTTCCGGAGGACGTCCAGGTGTTTGGGGCGGTCCTCGATGGTGAAGTACCTCTGGTGGTGGATGTCCGGGGCGCGGAGCAGCTCTCTGGGTCCGGCCAGCTTCACCTGCTCGGCCTTCAGGGCGATGGCTTGCTCCAGCAGGCCCAGGTTCCCTCGGGTCATGTCGAACATCTCCGACTCGTCGGTGACGCCGGAGCGCAGCGACAGGCTGTCCTCGTCGTCGCGCTCGTCGTCTCCGTCCAGGTCGTCCAAGTCCTTCTCCTCCGACTTGTCCGACTGCACCTCGATGACGTCCRGGGAGGCCGAGGACGAGGCCTTGTGGATGTTGTAGTCGTCTCCTCTGGGGACGGGGATGTAGTCCTCCAGTGGACCGGTCCTGTAAATCAACAGGGAGCTGCTCTTGTAGTTCTGAACCGGGCCCGGTTTGTCCAGTGGACCGGTTCTGATGTAGCTCTCCAGGTGAGTTCCCTGAGCGGCGGCTGTGCTGGTGATGGTCCGGACGGCGGTCGGCACATCGGATACGGAGAGGAAACGCCTCCTGTGCTCCTCTTCATCCTCCTCCTCCTCTTCCTCGTCTCCTGCTGGAGTTTCCTGCGTCTGCTGCAGCGATACGACCATTTCCTCCTCCTCCTCCTCACCTTTGATCTGCTCCACCTGGTCACTCATGTCAAGCTCCTCCTCCTCTTCCTCCTCCTCTTCCTCTTTCAGCCGAGCAGGCGACTCCTCCTGTACTTGAACTCTTTCTGCCTCCTCCTCCTCCTCCTGCTCCTCCTCCTCCTCCTTGTTCACGTGCCCCCCCTGCTCGTCCTTTACCTCCTCACCTCGCTCCGCTGCCACGCCGACGTATTCAGTCTCCATGGCAACAGGCTGCCGAGCGTCCGCGCTCTCAGCGCCGCCGCCGGAGACCCGACCCAGGTGGAGGAGGGAGTCGGCCACGTCTTCGGCGCTCTGAGAGGGAAGTCGACTCTCCGTGGGTCCGAGCTCAGACTTGATCACACACTCCTCTTCCTCCTCCTCCTCCTCCTCCTCCTCTGTGGACATGAGAGGCAAAGAGGACAGACTGCGTCAGCGTCTTACCTGCCTGCAGATGGTTCTGAATTAATCAAGCAGGTGGGTCAAAACGTCTCTCATCAAATCTTTATTTACCTCGAAGAAATGAGAGATTCTCGTTCAAAGTGGCTGAAATAAACATTTATTCTGAATTTATGAAGATCTTTTAAAGTTTATTTATTTTTTAATTTTTTAAGTCTTGCAGGTTTTTCACTCATTTTCAGGCTTCGTACCTGAACTTTTTCAGCAGAAGGAAGGAAAAATTTTCAGAAAATTGTTCATGAATCGTCTCTAAATTCGAAGAATGAACCTGTAAACAACTTAAATACATCGGGTTTAAATTTTACCTGTAACTGTTAAAACACAGCTGAATGATAGCTGAAAACGAGCTGAAGAAGCTGAAATTGAGTGAAGGCGAAACAGCTGAGAGGCAAAAGAAGCAAAGCAGTTGCAGGATGACAAATATAGCAAAACACTAGCTAAAAGTAGCAAAAAGATAACTAAAAACTAAAAATAGGAAAAGGCTAGTTAACAGCTAAAAGTATCAAAAGTGAGCTAATGCTAAAAACATCAAAAAGCTAGCTGTAAGATAAAAGTAACAAAAGGATACCTAAAAGTTAAAGTAGCAAAATGTTAGCTAACAACTAAAAGTAGCAAAATAGTTAGCAAAAGAAGCAAAGGATTAACTAGAACCAAAAGTAGCAAAAGGCTAACTAGACTAGCTTAGTGCAAAAGTAGCTAAATGCTAACTAGACTAGCTTAGTGCAAAAGTAGCTAAATGCTAACTAGACTAGCTTAGTGCAAAAGWAGTAAAATGCTTGCTAGAAGTATCGAAGTCTACCTAAAGGTAAGCAGCAAAGTGTATGGTAGCAGCTAAAAAAGCACAATTAGCAAAGGTGCTGGCTAAAAGCTAAAATGTGCATAGGTAGATAAAAATAGAGCTGGCATGCTAAATCAGATTTTAAAAATGATTGTTTTTGAAGAAAAATCAAAGCACTCACGTATTTGCTACTTGTAGCTTTAAGCTAGTATGTATTTTGCTATTTGTAGTTCTAGCTTGTCCCATGGTTATTTTAGCTAGCTTTTTGCTACTTTTAGTTACCTTTTGCTAGTGTTTGATTTAGACATGAGCCTTTTGCTACTTTTAGAGTTTAATTAGCTTGTTACTAATTTAGCTGTTAGCTAGTGTTCTGTTTCTTTTAGCTTTAAAACCTAGCTTCAGCTTTTTATATTCAGCGCTCATCAAAATTTTCTCTTTATATTCACCGTCATCACCTGCCAGTTTTGTCTCCTCCTCTTCCTGTTGCGTCCCCTCCTCTTCCTGTGGCGTCTCCTCCTGTCGTCCATTCATCAGTTCGTCCTGCAGGAGGCGCTCTGTCATCACCTCCTCCTCCTCCTCTGCGCCTGCATCCTCTTCTTCTGCCTCTCCTGCCTCCTTGTCCTCCTCCTCCTTCCCTCCGTCCTTCTCGGCCTCGCCCTCGGCCTCGCTGCTGGCGTCGCTCTCGGCGCTGAAGCCTTCGTCCAGAGTGAGCTTCAGGGGGTGGGACTTCCTCTTGGAGGCGGGCCTATCCATTTCCTGTTCCTGCTCGGCTTCCTCCAGCCGGCGCTTCCTCGCTACGGGGCAAGCCAGGATGCTTGAGGAGAAGGACGAGAAGGAAAGAGACTCATTAAACCCAGAAAGACACTCAGGTGTTGTAGTGAAAAGTGTGCACCACGGTGGGTTTGGAGGGATGAAGAAGCAGGAAGCAGCTGTTTCAGGATGAAATGTAGCCTGAGGGTGGCACCATGCTCGCTCACTCACACATCAGAACCAATCCCGGCCAATTGAGCAGAACGTTTAATGAACAACTTGTATGGAGAGGTGGGCTGGCGGGCGAGGCAGCGGAGGGTGAAATCCAATAAACTCTCTCTTATTCTCACCTGCGAGAAGCCGAGGGAGACCGATCGACGATCTATAAACAGAGTGCATCTGAAATTGGCTGCTGAACGAAAACACGTGTAAACAGATGCTAATATCGTCTCTTCAATAAAGAGCTGAGCCCCGAACCCCGAGTCTCACCGGGTCTCAGACAGGCGACGAGTGGAGGGAAGAAAAAACCTGAAGAAATGATTTCATCTCTCGGCTGCTTCAGACTCAGTTTGAGGCATTTTTAAAAACTGGCTGCTCTCAGTTATTCAACCAGTTCAGTGTGCTGTTTTTATTTATTCTGTTTTATTAGAACTTTATTAAAAAACTGATTGTTATTGATGAGTTTATCATGAGTTTATCTTTATTATGTGTTAATTATGAGCTAATTGTGAGTTAATCATGAAATAATAGTGAGTTAATCATGAGATAATCATGAGTTAATCATGAGATAATAATAAGTAAGTCATGAGTTAATCATGATACTGCATAATCGTGAGTTAATCATGATATAACTGTCAGTTAATCATGAGATAATCATGAGTTAATCATGATATAATCGTGAATTAATCATGAGATAATCATGAGTTAATCATGATATCGTGAATTAATCATGATATAATTGTGAGTTAATCATGATATAATCATAAGTAAGTCATGAGTTAATCATGAGTTAMGCATGAGCTAACTGTGAGTTAATCATGAGATAATTATGAGTTAATCATGATATAATCATGAGTTAATCATGATATAATCGTGAGTTAATCATGATATAATCGTGAGTTAATCATGATATAATCATAAGTAAGTCATGAGTTAATCATGAGTTAATCATGAGCTAACTGTGAGTTAATCGTTGGTTATCACAATCATGACTTATTCACGAAGTAAACGTCAGTCAATCATGAGTTATTATGGGTTAATCATGAGCTAATTTTGAGTTAATTATGAGATAATCGTGAGTTAATCATGAGATAACCGTGAGTTAATAATGAGCTAATTGTGAGTTAATTATGAGCTAATAGTGAGTTAATCATAGGTTAATCATGAGTTATTCATTAAGTAATCATTAATCATGAGTTAATTGAGAGTTATTACAGATTAATCATGATTTATTCATTATGTAATCATTAGTTAATCATGAGTTATAGGTTAATCATGAGTAATTTGTTAAGCAATCATTAATCATGAGTTACTCATGAGTTATTATGCATTAATCATGAGTAATTCGTGAAGTAATTGTTAGTTAATTGTGAGTAAAACATGAGGTAGTCATGAGTAAGTCATGAATTAGTCACGAGTTAATCATCTGTCAATCGTGAGCTAATTATGAGTTATTATGGGCTAATGAATTATTTATGAAGTAATCTGTAGTTAATGAGTTAATCATGAGATAATCATATGTAAGTCGTGAGTTAATCAGCAAATCATGAGCTAATCGTGAGTTAATCATGAGCTCCTAATGTGTTAATTGTGAGTTAATCATAAGCTAATAATGAGTTAATCATAAGTTACTAACAGGTTAATCATGAGTTACTAATGGATTAATAATGAATTAATTAGTTACTAATAGGTTAATCATAATCTAATCATGAGTAACTATCAGGTTAATCAGGAGTTAATCTTTTGTTAATCATGAGTTATTCATGAACTAATAATTCATTACTTACAATTAATCATAAGCAAATTACTAGTTAATATTGAGCTAATAAAGACTTAATCATGAGCTAATGATGACCTAATGAGGAGATAACKAACAAATGATAAATTATGCCTGTTAGCTAAATATCCTATCAAGCACTGGACTGGTTTTAATGAAACTTTCAGAAAGTGATCATTAGATAAAAATCTACACACTGTTTGGCCTAATTCAAGATGATTGCCACAGCCAACAGACCTTAAGAAACAAAGATGGCTTTCACTCAGTTTATTTAAAATATATTGAGCTAAAATCTGCTGTGGTAGTAGCTGAGAGTCTGATGCAAAACACACTGTGAGCGTTAGCAGATAACCCTGTCCGTTAGCCAAATATTTCATGAACCATTGAGCAAATTCTATTGAAATTGTCACCTGACGTCCAGCTCCAGTTGGTCTACACGTTTCAAGATGGCCGCCACAGCTAATCAAACTTAGCAAACTTAACAATGGCTCTGACTCAGACAATTTTCCCGATGTTTAACTAGAGTTTAGTTTTTGTGGGCTATCGATTTAAAACTGAAGGCGGGGCCGAACGGCAGGTTTCGTCGTTGCGCTGACGTTCTCACGTCAAAACTGACAACTTCACTGAAGAACAGAAGCAAAAGGTCGAAGAGGACAGAGGAGGAGGACAGACAGGAGGGGTGGAGGGGTGGGTTTGTAATCTGCCCTACCTTCTGTGCCGCGAGTATCTCCCACTGATATGGCCGAGGCCATCGCATCCAGGGGTGGGGCAGCTGGATGGGATGGATGGAGGTTAGAGATACGTTTAAGACATGGCTGCATTTTCGTCCCCGTTCAGAGAGGCAGCAGTAGCAGCAATGACAAACACAGGCAGTAAAAACAAAATTAAGATAAAGGAAAAACAACGCAGGAGACATGCAAACTGGGTGGATGTCACACGGATGCACACACACAAAGGAGACGCCGCCGCGCGCACGCCGTCCAGCAGACACACATGATGCATGAAGGCAGGTGGCATCCAGGCGCGGCGATATTGTGCATCGTACATCAACCCTGGCCTATATCCTGTTACTACGAGCGATAAGGATCAGCCGAGACCTGCTGTAATTTCCCCTGCTCTGCTCTCTTCACCAGTCATCATCATCATCATCATCACTATCAGCGCTCCCTCCTCCTCCTCCTCTCTCTCTCTGCTTTGATTCAGGTTGACCCCTCAGGATGGCTCGGTTCAATTCTCATCAACTTCACCCCCAGCAGTTGGCCCTTTATTACCATGATTATCCTTTTATTAATTTCACCTGAATCAAACCCAGGTGGAAACGAGCTGAAACTGAAACTGTTGTTTTTCTGCTCCTGAAGACGAGTTAAACTCAGCTTCACCTGATTTATTAACAACACTGAGAGAAGGTCTGACACCATGAGGAGGGTCAGGGTTAGATTACTGACTTTACTGAGACCTGCTCCATCTATTCGTTTATCTATCTGTTCATCAGTTCATCCATCATCCATCCATCCATCCATCTATCCATCTATCCATCTGTTCATCCATGTGTTCATCTGTTCATCCATCCATCCATCATCCATCCATCTATCTATCCATCTATCCATCTGTTCATCCATGTGTTCATCTGTTCATCCATCCATCCATCATCCATCCATCTATCTATCCATCTATCCATCTGTTCATCCATGTGTTCATCTGTTCATCCATCCATCCATCTATCCATCCATCCATCCATCATCCATCCATCTATCCATCTATACATCTGTTCATCCATGTGTTCATCTGTTCATCCATCCATCATCATCCATCCATCTATCCATCCATCCATCATCCATCCATCTATCTATCCATCTATACATCTGTTCATCCATGTGTTCATCTGTTCATCCATCCATCATCATCATCCATCCAT